GTGTGTGTGTGTGTGTGTGTGTGTGTGTGTGTTTGCCTTGCCTTGAGCAGACGAGAGTGCAGCAGCAGGGTGTAGGCCGCCTCGGTGTAGTTTTCACCTTCTAAGTGAAGGTCTCTTAATTTGTACAGGTACCTAAACGCATGCACAGAACATAAATTATTTTTAAAATCATCCCACTAGATGCCAGTGTTGGGCAACATGAAGACCTGCAAATGAAGCTATAACCTCAGTATGTGTCAGCATCCTTTGGTCTCTCTCACACACACACACAGAGACACACACACACCTTGAAATGCAAGCAAGAGACAAGGTCATTTGAGACCATGTGCGCCCACACACAGCACTTTTTGTGTGTCTTAATGCTACGGCAGCTGCGTGTGGTGTGTTTTATAAGGCTGAAACGGGAGCGCAGTGATGTTCGGCAGCATTAACATTRAAAAGCAGGTGCGAGGTCACGTCAAAGAAGAGCACATTGTTGGTTAAAACAGGTAAAGAAAGTGCTTTTAAAGTTGAAAGTCTCCCATTTGCATAAATCACACGAGGCTGAGTGCTTATAGAAGACACGTATACAGCGCATTAGCAAAAGAACAATTTCGCAGCACACTTTATTTGCCAGGCAAACATTTTGCTGAGGCTTTGATGCAGTCGGATTTAGTCATAAGAATAAGCAGAAATAAACATTTTAGTGTCAGAGTCTTGCGTTTGAATCAGTAGAACTCTCCCAGTGGTGCACTTGGCCATGCATCATCAGTCTGTTTTTACTGAGCCTCTTGCCTGAGTATTGATCTGAAAATCTCACTAATGATCTTTTTTAATGAAACCCTGATTATATGACTTGTGTGGGTAATGGACTTACCGATGTCACTGCTTATACAGGAGTGATATTTTCAAAGTTTAGTGATGTCTTTATTTCAAGAGTAGTTTATTACTGTTGTTTACATTGCAGTGCATTTAAGGTAGAAGTGATACAGAACGGTGGTGAAAGTCCTGTTTCTGAACCTACAGTGAGATAAAAATGACTTCTGTTTGTGATTTGAGCCTGAAGGCAGCGTGGATGGTGTTGATAATGTTAAAAACACTTGAGAAATGCTCATTAGGATGCAGAAAATCAGGGAGTTGAGATGATGAGACGAAAATAGAACTAAACATTAATACCAGCTCTGTTCCAGGAGTTTTCATTTGCTTAGTCAAGAGATTTGTTAGAAAAAGTCTTTGCTCCTTCTTTATTTTTTATGTACTTATTCTTTTGTTTAACCAGGAAGTGTGTCCAAATTCAGGGGCTGCGTCCTTCAAAGCACCAGATCTACCCAGTCTATGTGGGTCGGGTCCTGGACCACAAAGACCAAGTGAGTGACTGTGAATTCAGACGGTCTAGCAACTGTGATGGCACTAAACAAAAGCAAAGAAGATTGAAAATGAAATATTAATAAATTAATATTACTAATATTATAAATTAACATAATTAGCTTAGAACAAATACATGAAGAACTGAGGGACCTACTGTTCAAGCTTGTTTACAATTATGTCTGATAAGAATAATATTAAAACCAGTCTAAGGCAATAGCCTAACAACACAACTGTTTAAACTTTCAATTTTTGTGCCGCTAGATTTTTTTACTTAAAACTCTACCCCTATCTCTCACTTTGTCTGCCATTACGAGCACCAAAAATATCCCGGTCAGCCCCCCAATGCATCCTGGGATAGGGTGGGCTGAGAAGGATACCCTGGACTCGTCGCTCAAATTGGGGGAAAAAGGAGAACGTATTTGTGGGCCACAATTTAAGGAGTCTTAGAATTTGGACAGCCTTCGGCACATCGCTGTGAAGTAATCAGCCTTCAAATTCAGCCTTTGAAGGATGCAACCTCACAGCATTTTTACACCGCCCCCCCCCCCCAGGAAGCCCTGCTTAAGATTTACATAGATTTATATTCAATGAAAAAATTCTAACCAACAATTAGATACATAGTGTTGCATAGTTTCAACACTGTATCCTCTATATTTATTCATGTTTTTTGTACCTTGTTCTGGATGTGTACTATTAAATATTTATTTGTATTAAATTAATCTTAAGCCTCCATTTGCCACAGAGTTAAAAACATTAGCAGGTCAACCACTGAATATGAATAACTAATAAGTTTAAGAGTCACAGTCAGAAACGAACCGTAGAACCCGACAGCATCTCTGTTCCTTGTTTGCTGAATATTTTAGACTCCATCCTGCAAACATCGTGCCCCCCCCCCCCCCACACACACACACCCCTTCATGTGTCTTTCTGTTCTCTCTGCAGTCAGACCACCAGCTGATGCTGTGGATTTTGACATTAATTCAGTGGAACTCTTATAATCCCTTGTCAGATTATGAAGGCCTGCGCGCGCACACACACACACACACACAGAACTACACTGATCTAGACATGCCTTTCCATGCGTGCATACACTGCCCAACACAGACACACAACATTTACAAAACACTTTGACAAATCTAACATATAATGCAAATACCTGATGTACATTCCTTCCCGATTGATGTCCTTGTAAAAGTTCTGCAAAAACAAACAGCAAAGTTGGATTTTCATCATTTTTTTCCCAGTTTGTATATCACGAGGATGTGTCTAAAACTATTCTGGGGAGGTGTATGAACTGTAAGTTCTAGCACTTGTGTAGCTGAGTGTTTTACTAAATTACTTTGTATGTGCCATTTGAGTACAGTTAGTGAGTTGTGCCGCATGCTTCTGGTTGCTTAAGTGTGTTAATGTGCAAGAGAGTCTGTGAGTGCATTTCCCAGTTTAATTAAGTTTATTGACATCTACAGAGGAGTGGAGCAGACTGACGTATCCCAACCTTTTATTATCAGCAAACAAATCCACAACACGGTGTCGAACAAATAACTGCAAACATGCAAAAAAACTGATAACAAGCATGTTTACAAAGAAAGACAGAAGAGGTTTGCATCATTGATCTTTAACAGTATTTCAATTTKGCAAGCCTATTTTATACACTTGTATTTAAGCAGGAAAAGGGTCGGACATCTTTATTTAAATCAGTCTACGTGTTTTTTATACATGCAACTCAATTAGGGGGATTTGCAGCCAAGTGTGAAACTGCCTGGAAAAGAATTAGCACCTCCAACTCCGAGGTCACGGCCTTCTGTTGAGAGAAAACAAAAAAAGGCTGTTTGCCAAGACAGGAACGAGAGCGAGCTGAGGCCTCGAGTAAAGGAGTTTAAATATGTCTGGGTCTTGTTCACAAACAGAAGCAGGTGATGCAGATTCAAGCAGTGTCTGAATAAATCCTGTCATTGCATCAGTGCTTTTTTAATGATGATGAGAGRAGTCTATATAAGACAGTCGAGCTACGAACCAAAGGGTCCAAAAAGCAAGAAGCTAAAATGAGCTTTTCTTAAGAGATAGTCTCACTCGTGTTTGGTATGTACTCAGATTAAAGGTGTTGCTCCATTGAAACTGAGTCAGTTACAGTGGTTTTGGCATTTGGAAAACGTTCTTCCCAGAAATATCTCAAGGGAGGTGTTTGAACGTGTCCCACAGGRCAGACCCAGGACTCATGGGAGAGATTATGTCTCTTTGCTGACTGTGGAACACCTTTATGTTCCTCTGGAGATGCTGAACAATGTAGCTGGAAAAACAAAGCTAAACATGGTGGAAAATGTAAGGATGGATGGACAGATGAATGGATCTTTTTTTTAAAGGGGATATATGCTTCCTTTCATATTCAAATCATTCAGATGTGGTCTATRCAAAATGGAACTGCAAAGCTTTGATCTAAATTCCTCTTTATTGTAGCTCCACACGCCCCTTTCACCCCTGTTTGAAGTGCATCTCAGAGTAACTCATTTTGGTGCTACCTCTTTAAAAGTGAGTTAGATGCTTCACATCCCACCTCCCTCCAAGTCGCAGAGAGTTCCACTCCACCCCTTTTGTCTATTTTTCTTTAATAGCAGAAAAATGATTATGTAGCAGAGTAGAAACATTTTATTTACAAATTAATAAAAGATGTCAACGAGAGAAGACTTGTCCATCCAGCTTCACATGTTGGGGCCACAGTTTGACCCAAAGGAGAATGAAGACGACAAATCTGCAGAACCGAGCCATCAAATAAATGCAGAGCAATGGTGTGCTGTTATTGTATTTACACCCTTTCAATCAATACTAAGTAACTACAATATGAAGCATAGTTTTGACCAAACATTTTGAATTGTCCATTTGTAGCTTTGAAATCTTTGAACTTGGACTACAAAACTGCTGCAAGAAATAAAAAGGCAGATTTGCGAAATTTGTTAGCCAGAAGTCCAGGACCTTGTTTAGCAGTTCTGATACAACTCCTGTGACGTAACTGATCAAGCAAGGTGGAACTCAACACCAAAGCAACGATTGCTATGCCTCCGYCTGTTCTAGACATGTCTGCCTTTGAAAAAAAATGCCGTTTTATATTACCAATCATCATAAATGACCTTGACCTTTGACCCTTCAATATCCAAATCTTATCAGACTGAGTACTACTCTAATGGAGCTACTATGCTATGTATTTGTTGTTGGTGTTTTATCTTTTGTATTTTTAAGAATGTCATTTGTTTTTATATTGATTTTTTGCCTTGTGTTCAGCACTTTGGTGACAACTTGTTGTTTATAAATGTGCTTTATAAATAAACTTGATGATGATGAACTTGATGATGCCTATTTATAAGTAAATATATATTTTCATTAAGGAGATATCGTGCACACAAGACTACCCGTGACGGGTGGACACCGCACTAACACAGACAGCCAGAGAACAGTATGCCTCATAAAAACCTAATAAGGGATAGAAAAAAATGAACGGATTGAAAAACATCACCCAAACAGTATGTAAAGATATCTATGCAACACAAAGAAAGACTAAATTCAACTTGTCCATACGTCTGTAGACTCCAAGTTCACAACTAAATATATTTAATTGCTAAAAATGTGTGATGGACTTGCGACCTGTCCAGGGTGTACCCTGCCCCTCGCACTGTGACTGCTGGATATGGGCACCAGTGACCCACGCATCCCTGAAAAGGAAGAAGCGTGTACAGAAAAAGGATGGATGGATGGATGGATGCTAAAAAAGTGGATCTTAAAAAGTTTCACCTTGAAGTCAAACCTGCTTAGTTTTGTACAGTAGTTGACAAACTCTTCAGTTTCTGACTCACCCACCACCACAAAAAAATGAAAAGATTTGCAACCCCAACTATCAATGGTTGATTGTCATAAACATCTCTAAATTTTAGTTAAAATAAATTTTAAAAATTGCCTAAAATTGAAGCTAAGGCTATTATTTGCATTTGAAGGCTGTTGCTGTGAAACCCATGATCAGCATCTAAGAATTCAAATGAAATAAGTCATTCCTGGGCTGCCAAGATGTGTGAAAGAGAGAGACATCTGAAAATGATCAGTGCCAATAGGAAGAGTCAAATCAATATATTGTGTAAAATTTTATTAGAGGCAAAACAGAAAGTGGAAAACACGGAGAAGAGTTCATCCCGAGTCAAGAATGAAAACAAACTTTTAAAAAATAGGAACTATAAAAGCCCCAACATTTGTTCTTGCTTTAAAGTGCCAACCATTTAAATCTGAACAACTAAAAGGAACAGGTAATACTTTGTCAAAAAGATGGTTTAAACCATTTTCGAATAATCTTCCTAAGAGCAGACTGTACCAGCACAACTGGAACAAAGTATCACAGCCTGGGATAGTTTCTAATCTGAAGCAATACAACTTCTTCAGATAAAACTCAGGAGTTTTTGAAGACAGGAAAGTGAATATTCTACATTGATTAAGGCAATTACCTGGTGACAACTTGATAGTGCTGCATTTTACTTGTTGAAGGCAAAATTAAAGCAAAAAAATGGAAAAAAATATGACGACTGAACGTGGCTGCAGTAAAGGTTTGGTAAAGCATTAAACATTTTATCCTAAAAGTAATAATCCTTTCAACAAAGTATCTGAACTGTGACAGTTGAAAAACACCCTAAACAGCTGCAACCCCTAAACTCTTTATCAGTTCTATTACAACTGTAACTTATATAATTCTGAGTAAAGAGCTGATGGCCCAAAGTTGTATAAAAATATTTAAGTTAATAGAGGTTATTTTAGCCAGAAGGATTTTGATGTTTCAACAAGTAGAAATATGTTTGTGTTTCTCTGAGGGTTGCTCTGCATCAGGAGGCTTGACAAATACCATCTATAAGAGAATGTGCTTGTTAGCCTGGGGGAGTGTAAATACAAGAATGTACTAGTGTTTGCTAGCCTAGAGAAGGGAATATGTTTTCAGCTGACCAAATAAATTAAACAGAATAGCTAATGGGCAGCTGCCACAAGCTGCAAGCTAAACATATCTGCTGTTCACCAGCAGCCTTTTTCTGGGAGGAGAAAAGTCTAAAACAAGGTACAAACACAGGCTTACAGATAATTAATCCTAAATATTTACACCATTTATAGATAATACATAATTAATTAGATTTGAATAGCTGAGGTAGAGACTAGAATTGTAATTTAATCATCTTACATATTACAATATAATGGTTAAATTAGATTCACCACCAACTCTGAAAACACCTATAGACCCGAGTCTTACTTAGAGATCACATCAAGAAAAGATTTGAAATGAACAGAAGCTGATGTAACCCAGTGTAAATGGTGAGAAAGCAGAGACAGAAAACAGACCTTAAATCAGGAAGTCCACAGAACCCGGAAACAAAACAAAACAAATGTGTTTCACCAAAAATCACTAACCATAGTATACTAGTCTTTTGCTACTGATGCCATCACTACAAATAACAAACTCACTAACATGTTTTTATTCAAAGTTATTATTTRTTTTAAGCTTAAAAAATACGTGAATTTAAATTTTAGTCATATTAAAATGAAACCATAAGGACTTAAAAAATGGGCAGTAGTTGGTGCTGGCCCCTCAGGAAGCCCACTCCAGCACATATACCTTTGGGAGGTGGCATACTTCTGATGCCGACATTCTTTTCTTAAAGAAAAGCAAAGGCAACACTGAAAACAAACTTCAGATTTTAGCGTAGTTCCTACTTACCAGAAGATTGACAGTGCAGCTCATGCGGTTGTTGCGGCTGTCATCGCTCATCACTGTGCGATAGTCAAGGAGACGAATAAGGAGACCCTTAACCAGGGAGACAAAGTGCTGCACCTGCGGCTTCAGTGGGGGTTTCTCTGCAGCACAATCCAGCAAGCTACAGACAAAGAGTCAAATTATTTCTCATGTCTAGCAATGTTTGCTTTTGCTTTAAGTTTCGGGTTAACATAGCCCTGAAAAAGCACGTCAAAAAAGGTTTAAATCACATTTTCAGGCATTAGCTATGCTAAAATTTAGCATAAAAAAGCAGCAGAGGTGAGTACATAAGAGGATCAAATCCCAGCGATTTGTGTCATGTWCTGACTTTACTCCTCAGACCTACATGGTTTCTAACAGTTGCATGTATCGTTCATCCCCTCCTCCACCTTCCACCTCGTGGTCCAACTTCAGAATGATCTCATTCTCAAACTGTAAATCCGGATAAGCAAAGATAAAGAAAGAAAAGAAAAGGAAAGGAGTAGATAAAAGGGGAGATGGGGGAACCAGAAGCAGGAGTAGAAGAAATCAATTATGCAGGAGTAATTAAGGTGTCTTCTTTACTTTTATGTGCAGTATCACAGGGAATCAGTGGAGGACAAAGGGTGTGTGCCMGTGAACCCACGTGTGTGCAGGTTTTGTTGTGTGTGCACGGTTTTCTTGTGTGTGCACTTGTCCACAAATATACAGTAAATGTACAATTTCTTGTTTAAAGTATTTCACTATTTTACATTTTTCAAGTTTTTGTATGTGTTCTGTACATTTGTACCTTCTGGAAGTTTCCGTACTGTGTATGTTCACAGTTGATCATGTCAAAAAAGATGGGAATAGTGGCTCTTCTCAGCTCCTCCTCAGGGATTAGAGTCATTTCCAGAATAGGACCCGCCATGCCAGGGATGAAACAGATCTTATGACTTCCTGCAAGACACACATCATTATATCTAAGTAACTCATACATGTGTATGTTCATAAGAGGTTTACAACATTATAATCTACATATGGATTGGTAACACTTAGTGGTTTGTCTTACTAAATCATTAAGAAATTGTTAGCTAACCTTGAAAACATCATTAACTTGTGKCCCTGCAGGGTTTTGTCTACATTAACAAACACATAAAAAGAAGCAGTGATGTTCAACCTTTACAGACGTTAAGCTGAGTCTCTGAGTAACTTTATTACTATTATTACTCAGAATGCTCGGTGCTTTCATCTGCTTCCTGCTTTTGGAGCGTTGTCTTGTTTGTTTGGCATTCACCTATGCATTCAAACCGTACCAGAGTTCACCTCAACCGAGCTGAGACCTAGGTCTGTGGGCAGACCAGAATCCTTTTTTTTTGGTCCGAATATGAATTTGATTACACACTCAAACCTCCCAAATTGAACCGGACTTCTAGGCACACAAAGTCAGCGTTTGAATAAAGCAGATTAAACAAGAATGAACCCTTAACTAGCAAAAGCTTTAATTATTAGTAGATAGTCAAACCCAATGTTCTCTATTAGTACATGTCTAACAAATGGTATGTATGTGTGTATATATATATA